CACCTATTTGGTATTTTGTCATTATTTGGAAGACTATATAAAAATCACTGTTGATAAAATTTACCAATGGCACAAAAATGGTAAGATGCTAAAAATCATGGGGAGGCACTGATTAGTCACTTAGTCAAGTGGGCTCTTTTCAACAATATGAATTTTAAATCAGCAACATGTAAAGGAAAAAATACTAGAGGCGGTGATGAACTGGGCCTGGGACTGTGGTAGAGAAGCAGCAGAATATGAGCTGTTAGTTGATTGCTAAATCTATGGATGTAAACACAGTCTTGGACTGTATAAAATTGCTATCAAGTTGAAATTTCATCAAAGCTTTAGTGGGTTCCCATAATTTAAAAGGACACTGAAAAATTGGGAAGGATGTTCCACTCAAGGATGAGAGAAGGTGAAGAAATGATTGTTTTCCTGTCTGCAAATACCTTCCTCAGGAAATAGACTTTTTAATTTTAAAAAATTCTGATCAATCTAACAGAGAAAAATGTGGCAATGTTCAGTAGTAGGAAGCAAACACTGGACAAATTCAAGCTAGAAATAAGGCACACATTTAGAGCAGTAAAAGTACTTAATCAGTCAAACAGTTTACCTAGGGACATGTTGGAGTCTTATTCACTGCCATTGTTGAAACATAATTTGTTTAAATTATAGCAACTAAGTTTTATTTCAAAACGTATTTACACTCTGATGCTGGAATTATTGTGTGAGGATCTTTGGCTAGTGTTGTAGAACAGATAAGACTAGATGATCATAATTGTCCCTTCTGGCTTTAAAATCTGTAAATCTAGTTATAATCTGGCTGTGGTCTCCTTGCACAGCCCGTAGCAGATGGTTCCCCTGACCAGTAGGGTCAGATTGTGTTCTGAGCAGGACTGGGGATCTCCTGCATAGGTCATACAGCTGGGTGGTTTATAAACCTGCTGTACAAATGGACCTGCTTCTACTGGCCAATATGTCTGTTTCCAGTTATCTACCAAGATTTTGTGCAGATTTTATGAGCAGCATTGAATTTTTATTGCTTTACTTTATCCTGATATAAAATAGTTCCTCTGAGATATCTTGTATCTTGTAAACCAAAACAGTAGGTAGATCAGAACTGTGATTATGCTGCCCAGATAAGGTACTCCCTCTAAGTTTTTTTTTTGTTTTGTTAGTTGTACATGCTGGAATATTCTCTCACCCTCCTCCCTTGTAAAAAAGTTTGCAGGCATGCAAACAGGGCCAGAGAATTAGCAAATTCAGGGTGGCCATTGCCTTTGTGAACAGTGAAAAATGACTCTTGGATATGAAATGCAGAAGATTATTTTGAAAAAGTCATGTTCCCTCACTCCTACATGGCAACGTTAATTTATGTGAACTGATATTAAGTGTTAAATAACTCATCCAGACACTGCTCTTGGCAATAATACCAGGGTAGTCATTACACTAGGATGAATTCTCTGAAACCTTTCCTCAAAGTACGAGACACAAACAGGTTGTCTTCTAAAAAGAATCATAGCATACCTCCCTTGTCCCCTGCAGTGTTCTTTGGACATGTACTACTGCATTTGCTGATAGAATCTGAAAATTAGTGGTCCTTTGGGTTTTACATTGAAACTGGCTTGGTTTGAGGATAGACTGGGATTTTTCCCCCAGCATCTTATAACTCTGTTTTGTCATTTGTACAGGGTCTTACACAGGGTGTAGCTGGTTATTAATTGGAATGGATGAAGTAGCATCTAAATAACTGCACAATTACTAAATTTAGGAAATACTGACAGACTAAATTAAAAAGATTCAAAGATGATTGACTCCATCCTACTCCCTTTTCCCAATGCCTGCCCTTGTAATAGCAGCATTTAAGACTGCTTTGAAATAAACTAACCAGTGCCAGTGTTTGGATCTGGCAGAGAACAGCGAGGTTTTGAACAGCTCCCTTTGAACAATGCTGTTTGGCCAGTCCTGTATTGCAAAGGTGGCACAGTGTGTTGCTTCATGTTGAGTTCCATTTCAGACCTTCAGCTTTAGATCTCATTTCTAGCCATGTGAGGGGTGAGAGCACCACAGAGGCAGCACACCAAGGCTGGGAGAGATCTGAACTTTTTATCACACTGTCTCAGTCAGTGTCTTCTTTCAGTCCAGTGCTCATGGCATTGGTGGTGAGCTGTGTGCAGATCTCCTCTGCTGAAAGGAAGCTCACTCTGTGGAGAGGCCTTAGAGCAGAAAATGGAATGACTTCAAGGCTTAGCAATTCAGAATAAGAGTATGTTGTGCCCAGGGCTTTAGACTGAATGTACTTTTAGAAGTACAAAACATAGCTAGAATTTTCTCCAGTTAACATTTTTAAACTTGTTCCCATTCTTACATGTGCATACTGCTTTAAGCAGTTTCTGCATGTTTTTAGCAACATCAGTACAGACTATATTACAATTTTCTCCTTCTCCCTGCAATAGTTCTCCAGCAGTTGATGTAGTGCCTGCAATGCTGGGACACACTTTTAGATGGTGCCACTTGATGTGCAATGCAAACACACTGAACTATCCTTAGAATGAAAGGAAGTGCTCAATATAATTGTGTTAAAGATTTCCGTGAAGGCATAGGGGATGCTGAGGAAGAGCTTTTCAATTAAGAGGAGTGAAAATTCAAAAGTGAGAACATTTAACCCTGTGGAGTCTGGTACTTTTCACCAGTCTCATTATGTCTTAGGCAACACCTGAAGTACTTAAGTTGTGTGAGAAGTCACTAGTGACTGCTGACAGTAACTGGTGGGACAAACATCAGAACTGGAAGCAGCTCCAAAAATACTACAGTGATGCTGTAAACCCAGCATCGCTGTCTGGCCCTGTTCTGACTGGCATCACAGCTGTCAGAGTTTGCACACTCCCAAATAGCCCTGCAGAAATGCAAACAAATAGACAGCCAGTGTCTTCTGTCCTCTTTTCCCTCTCTCAAAGGCCTGTGATGGGTGTGTACGTGCTCAGGTGCCCACCTGGGACCAGGGAGGCCCAGACAGGCGCATTCTGTCTCAGGTTTGTGGCTCAGTAGGAACTGTTTGTTTTTGCACAGCTCCCACTAAACACAGCCCCTGCTCCTCGCCGGTGAAGCCCAGAGCTTAATTAGGTGATTGGGAAAGACTCAGAAATTTCATTGAAATGTTTAAATCTGATTTTTTCTGTTAAGCTGTGTGGACTAAGGCCTAAAGCATGAATTACATGAATTACTACCTCACCCTCTGCAGAGAACCTCTTGTTTGAGGTTCTGCGCTTTTCTCCTCTAAAAAGGTCAATTGACGTGGTTTGATATCAAGCTCTCATGTCTCACCGTTTAGCTTTAGGATTACATTATGGATTTAGAATTTCCACTGCTGGTAAGGTGCTCCAGCCCTGGCTGGACTGCAGCACGGATCCAGCCCCTGTTCATGTCAGGGAGCTCTCGTGCAGCCCTCCATGGCCATGGGAGTGTTCTGGGCTCGCCTCTCATCAGTAAATTCCTGCCATTATTGAGAGGAGCAGCTTCCCAAGTATTTACCAGCCTTTCAATTGAGCCTCTAGCTTAAATAACAGAAGTTTGAAAGCTTTTCAATTTTGTTTTTAGCAGATTTTGAGGTTATTTGAAAGCGAATAACTTTCCAGCTGGTTTGGTGATCTACATAATATTATACAGCATTTTTACTGTGGAGGAAGTTTTCAAAACAAATGTTTCCATTATACCATTTGGAGAGGCTTGCCTTTGTCTTTTGTATCACTTAGGGAAAAAAAGCTACCTAGAAAAAACAGTTTCTTCTTGCAGAGCTCCCTCACAGAAACAATTGCCAGTATTGACAGCTTGCAGGTCTTTCAGATTTCTGTCTCTTTTAGAGAGGATTTCCGTACTTTTTCTTTTAAAAGCACTCTGTATTGCTAACAATGCTCTGCAGAAATTTAGAGATACCTTTGCTTAGATGTACATTCTTTTCAGATACATCTTTATGACTATATGTGAATATTTATTATATGTGTAAAATCTTCTGCCTCTTTGAAAGTATAGGAAGAACAATAAAAGTTTAGTGTGGGCTTCAAATATTTACTTAATTTACAGAAATCATCTTATATCTTTTAAAACTCTATTCAAGCCAAACCTAGAAAAGTGCTTATGGTAGGTAAATTACACATTTTACTGCTTGAGCCTTAGAAATGTCATTAGTACAAAATTAAAGGACTGCAAAAACCAGTAGATAATACTAATTTCAAATACAGAAACTAAATATATTTTGTACTTTTTATTACTCAATTTCTTTTTTACAGACTACTTTTTATTTTAACTATATGTTCTTATATGCTGCAATCATTATGTAGTGTAATGATATTAATATTTTATAGAATCTGTATTTATAGTTCTTTATTTAGAAACAATGCAGTAGGTCTGCAGATCTTTGAATCCTTCTGGAATGGTGCCCTCCAAATAATGATAAATTACTTGTGCAGTATGCCATTTGCTAATTATATCCATGATTTACTGCAGAGCAAGACTTAAATCATTCATTTCAGTCTTGCGTAACAGTGCCATAAAATTTTTAGGTTTAAAAATGGTTTCCATGTGTATAATTTAAACAAATTTTAGAGCAATTGTATACACAAAATATTGCAACCATCCATTTGTTACATTCTTTGTCTCCCTTTTTTTAAAACTTGTACTTTTAATGATTACTGTGGTTGAAATTGTTATGCTTCATTTTCATAATTATAGCTTTTAATTCTACAACAGTTTTCTACATGTTAGATTAAGAAAAGGATGGCTAATTGTGTGTAGATACCATGTCGTTCCTGAATACCCCCCATTCTAGAAATCCATTTTAGAAATACTCCGTTTAAGAATTAGTCTTCGATTAAAGGTGTTTCTTTTTAAGAAATGAATTATTAGTACCAAGATCTTCTTGTTTGTAAGCAGCTAATGCTGATTTTTTAATTTCTCCACTCATCCGTAGCCCAAAGTACAGTTAACTCTCTTTATATTTTCCTCTTTGTCCACACCTGTAGGTGAGAAGCCTTACAAGTGTCCACATTGTGACTATGCTGGCACTCAGTCTGCATCCCTCAAATACCACCTGGAACGACACCATCGGGAGCGACAGAACGGAGCAGGACCACTCTCTGGGCAGAGTGCAAGTCAGGAACACAAGGATGAGACACCCAGTAAAAGTTCTGTGTTTATCAGACCAGACATACTGAGAGGAGCCTTCAAGGGACTTCCTGGTATCGACTTCCGAAGTGGCATGGTCTCACAGCAGTGGACGTCAGGAATGCTGTCTTCTGGAGATCAGCAAGGACAAGCAGTTGGCATGTCATCTGAAGGATCTTCAGAAAATCTGAAGGGTTCAGACATATCTTCCAAAGGAACGCACTTCTCTGAACTCGGCCGTGCTTACCAGAGCATGGTCGGGAATGGTGTGAACTTTCAAGGGTCTTTGCAAGCTTTCATGGACAGCTTTGTCCTAAGTTCTTTGAAGAAAGAAAAAGAAATGAAGGATAAAGCTCTCTCAGATCCACTTTCAGCAAAAGCTCTGGGCTCAGACAGTGGTGAGGAGAAGATAAATAGCAAGTCCTCACAGCGGAAAACAGAGAAGTCACAATACGAACCTCTGGACTTGTCGGTAAGGCCCGATGCAGCCTCCCTGCCAGGTTCCTCTGTCACTGTACAAGACAACATTGCTTGGCATGGCTGCTTATTTTGTTCCTTTACAACTTCATCCATGGAGCTAATGGCTCTGCACCTCCAAGCCAATCACTTGGGCAAGGCTAAACGTAAAGACAACATCATAGGCAACAGCAAAGAGCAGTCTAGGGAGGTTTCAGCCTCGGTGAACAAAGTGAGCTTGCTCCCCTCTTCTGTGCAGTCCAGCAAGGAGGCAGGAGTTTCAAACATGCTGAGCCAGCTGGACACAGCTTCTGAGAAAATGACCCAAGGACAAAATAAAGAGACCCTGGGAGAGCAAAAGAGTGCTGCCTGGCCCAGCCACATGGAATCCACTTTTTGTAATTTTACAACAGACTTCTATAAGCAGTTCGGTGTTTATCCTGGCGTTATTGGCACGGGAACACAAAATTCTTGCACCAGTAATGAATCTGAAATAAAAACACAATCTGAAGATGACCCAAATATTCTGCTCTCTGACTCTGTAAATAAAAGTGCTATTGATGACCTTTCTGACATAGCTTCATCTGAGGATATGGAATCTTCTAAGGAAGAAAACATTGAAGATGAGGACATTGACACAGAACCAGATATTATGAATAAGCAGTTGTCTGCCCTAAATAAAGAAAGCAGTGAAGGAGGTGACAATATACAAAGTGCAGTCACCTCACAACCCACACAAGGGCTCGTATCACCACTGCCACAAGCTTCAGAAAAGCAGTGGCACGGTCAGAATCTTCTCTCCTCACACGAAACTGCACAAGAAGTGATGAAACCCGAACAAGTTCAGGGTCCGCAGGTCCTGGAGAAGCAGATGAACATGTTGTCAGTCCTAAGAGCTTACAGCTCTGATGGCTTAGCAGCCTTTAATGGACTTGCAAGTAGCACAGCAACTAGTGGATGTATCAAGAGACCTGACTTGTGTGGTAAGTTTTAGACCTTCTTTTAGACCATTTCAGAAAACACTTGTGCAGAATCATGAAGCTGCTCTTTAAATATACTTAGTCATGTTTGTTAGTAATACATTTTTTTAAATGTTAAACCCTGTGGGCCAAATTCTTGTCCTATATGTGGTCTACTCCATTGAAATCAGCAGTGCTGCATGCATACTTACACAGGATTTTAGAAAGAACCTGCTTTTTAAACTAGAGTAGCAGCAATATAGACTATCTGTGCTAGTGGCATCGGAAGGGGATACTTACTGCTTTAGCATACTCAAAGGAGGAAAAAGTTTTTAAAAATATACATGGTAACTTGCAAACTTTTCAGTATTTTGATATACAAACCCATGAAAAACACTGGATGCTTTGCCAAGCAAACCTTGCTTTCTCTCTTCTTTTTTTTTTCCCCCCTTTCTTTCTTTGGATTGGGGTGTGTTCAATTACCACAACATTAATGAAATCAAAGGCCAAGTGCATGAAATGTGTCTACCTGTGTTGAATAGCTGTTATTTTTTCTTTCTTTTATTTTCTTTCCCTCCCTGTTTTTTTCTTTTTTTTTAATTATAATTTGCTGGTTTGTTTCAATGGCACACATGCAGTACTTGCCCTTGACCATTTTCACTATTCTAACTAGCAGTTGTGTAAATTGTGATTTGCCTGATTAAGAGTATGCCTCCAGGTAATTAAAATAAAATACTCCAAACAAATAAAACCACCTTTTACCCTTTCTAGTCTCTGATTTACAAAACTGCAGTTTTACTTCCTCATATCACACACCTCATATTTACAAGAATTAAAGTTAAATCTATTTGGAACAAATGATATTGAGGATTTTGTTTTTATTATTTAGCTCCTATTTTGTCAGCATTAGTGTTTGTTTGAAAGAGATTTTAGAGTGTAAATCCTTTGAAAACAGTATCACTTTAAAAAGCAGAGTAAGCAAAGGACACAAAAACTTCAGTAATGTTCATTTCACTTAACCTTCAAACCAATCAGAAAACTCATTGTCAGAGCTGAACATACATAATAAAATATATTCAAGTTAAAAAAAAAAGAAAAGAAAAAGAAAAGAGAAGAAAACGTTATCAACAGTTTTAAAGCCTGACAATTTAAAATGAAACCCTCTATCTGCAAGCACTTAAGAGTGGCTCCCCTGGTTAACCTAAGGTTAGGGGGAGCTTGTCTGATTTTACTGGCAGTGTAGATGCTCAAAGCCCTCTCCAGGCCCCTCCCTGCTTTTCCATGTGTATTAGTTGATCTGATAAAAAATTCTGATACCCACACACGAATTTTATCTCACTTGTATCCTTAGAGCATTGTGACTTCACAATATTGTCATTATCTGCCCATATCTGTCATTTAACCAATGTCTGCCAAGTATCCATGTGGCCTTACTTGTAAACTTCGGTGTCTTAGTGGATTAAGAAGCAATTTAGGTAGTTGGAAATATTTCCAGGTTCTTCAAAATCAGCATTTACATTATTGAAAAAAGTAAATAGTTGATTTAATTTACAGCAGGTAAAATCCTACCTGGATTTTTTTCCATTTGTGGGGTAAAATCAATTAGCAAAAAAAGAAAAAAAATACAGCAAAGAAATTACTGTGTAAACAAAGAAGTTAAAAAAAATTAGAAAACCAGGATTATCTGCTTTGTGCAAAATATCTTTATACCTTTTCACAGGCATAAAATTTTTAAAACAACAACAGAAAAAACCCTCTAATATTATTATTGAAATGAGGTCATGTTACTTCCATTAGTTTTTTGTTTCATCTTCCAATCAATTCAACAGACATTTTATGATAGCTTGAGTTTATATGATTTTAAAGACCATATCCCTTTCACAAGCTCTGCCCAGTGATAATGGATTTGACTTGAAGTATGAAGGAAAAAAAGAAACAACAGAAGCTTCTCTGTTCTACTTTTTAAGCCTTTTTAAAATCGAAAATGCTGTTGAGTCCTTCTGTCTCCTCCCTCCAAAAATAGCTTTTTAAAATTCTTTTCTGTCATTCTATTGGTGTTTGAAGAACATAAGTAAAAAGGTTGATTATTTAAATACATGATTTCATTTTTCTCAATATCTCACAGAAAAGTGGATGAGTATGAACAAGCCCCATGTCAGTAGCTCTTTTTTTTGTTTGGTTGGCTTGGTCACCACCCACTTGAAAGTAGTGGCTTTGGGGGAGTTTTCGTTTTCTCAGTGACATTTTATGCTGTGAAATCACACTCCATCTGTGCATGCTAGTGTGGGGAATCCCACCTGATGTTTCTGCACTTGCAGATTAGCAATCAGGATCACCCTGTTCATTTATTAGCCTTCCTTCCTTTCCTCCTGCATGAAGCCCATGACCAAAGTCGTGGTTCTCTTTGTCTCTCCCCCTGCCTGGGATATCAGAAAACTTGAGACACACCTCCAGCATCTGATTTCAGGGCATGATTCTCATGTTCCTTTTGTGTTTGGAGAGACTCCATGCATTTGTGTTTCTTTTTACAGCCAGTGATGTGTGTTGTTGACATCTCAAGAGAAAACATTGATGCATTTGATAGCAGTCCTTGCACACTCAGAGAGCAAGGCATAGTGCTCTTTCCATAGTCAGAATACAGAGGAAATAAAATTGAAATAAAATATTTCAGCTTCAGTAAGCTGAGATTGCTTCTTTGGCTGGCCACACTAATTGAGTTGAATTTCTGGCTGCCTAAAAACAAGCTGGGGTATTCAGCAATCCATGTGGATCATTTTTAGATGGCAGATTTTACCCTAAGATAGTAGGTCAGTTTTTAAGCAAAAATCTTGGCACAAAAAAAGTTTTGTATCTAGAGGAGAATGCCAGGAACTCACATTGTTGTTTCAGAAAGTCACTGCACATGTGGAAGCAGTCCTCAGTTTCCCTGTCATGGAGAATGAGAGAGACTGATGATGTACACATAATTCATTTATGCTCCTATCATGCTTCAGGCTGCAGGGTTGAAAGACACAATTAGGAAAGAACCATAATTACTGCATAATAAAGAAATTTTCATGTCAAAATGCTACCGAGAAAAAAATCACGAATTTTTGTAATATTTCTCCTTATACAACAGAATGAACAGAAAGAAAAAAAGAGCATAGATAATCTTAGAGTTACTCCTGAACTGTACTTGGTTCTGGAGTCTCAGGTGATTCTACCTAGGAGTGGATCTTGTTAATGTTGCTGGCACTCAGTTCCTAAGGAGATGACAGGTCTTTCCTTGCTGATTGGCACCAAGTAGCCCAATGGGGAGGGGAGACCCAAGGCCCATGGCTTGGTAGCTGTCTTGAGCATCTGTGTACTCTGCTTTCACAGCTCTTGCTGATTTGACAAGTTAAGCTTGGAGATTCTGGATCTATTTTGTATTTAAGTTTTGAAAGATCTGTTTTCCTTTCCATTTATGCTCTTCTCTTTTTCTGCTTGTCTTCCCACACTCATGTAGTTGCATCACAATAATGTTCTACCTTTTGTTCCAATACCTCAATTTACTTGTGATTTGTGCAAAAGGCCCTTTATGACAAGACACTATCCCTTCTCTCTCTCCTCCCCTTTAAATTTCTCTGCTTTGTGACCAAGATAGTAAAATTTCCCTACTTGCATTTGCTACTTGGGGAGTACTTAGGCTTTCGAAGGAGAGCTGATGGGCTACAGAGCTACTGGCCAGATATAGTCCTGGGCGTTAGCTGGCTGCTTAATGGGTTAGTGCTGTGGAATCCACACTTAATGATGTCCAAAGTATTAGTTCCATGTTGTCTCTAAATCTAATTTGCTTCCATTCATGCTTGCTTCCCTCTGCAATTAGTGCTGTTTTCTCCTGCACAGGCTCCACCCCTTATCACTTCCTTCACTGTATGAAAACAGGGCAGGGCCCCTCTGATAAATGGGAGCAGCTTTGGAGTTCTGATCCTGCAAAGGGCTGAGCAATTTCAGTTTTCTTTGCAGCAGAAAGCTTTTAGCACTGCACAGAATTATTAAAATATTCAGCATTGTAACTTTCTGAAATACCTTCCAAATGTGGAACTGCAGCGCAGACAAGAGGGCTGGGCAAGGGGAAGATCAATTGTGGCAGATTATTACAGCTTTATTGTCACATAATTATAGTTCTCTACCCCAATGTTTAAATAGTGAATTTAGTTATTGTAAATTGCTTATTGCCACAGGTGTCAAAACCAAAAAGATCATAATGCTAACCCCGTCAGAACTACCACCAACATGTGAAACACGGAAAAAGATTTTTAATTATTTGTGATGGCTTCACCTGAATCCTTATTGCAGAACATTTAAATTACAAAATTTGTATTAAGAAGCAAAAGGCCTGATATATCCAAGCTCTAGGATAGCTCTGAGCAATGGAAGGTCATCCTAGTGCAGCAAATTGTAGCACTGCCCATTTACAATATCATGTAACGCACTTAAGGAACGCTTTGTCCTGATCTGCAGTTGGAGGAGTAACCAGAATATTCTTCAAGGCAGAATGAAATGATATGGAAGTTTTACAGCAGGCTTTTCTTTATCCCATTATCGTGCTTTTGAAGAGGTTTCGTAGTTTCAGTTAGAAGGTCCAAGGCCAGCTTTTAGAGTACAAACTGTTCCTCTGAACAGGAGATCAGCACCTCGGCCCCCGCCTGGGTTTCAGACACACTTCTGGATGTCACAGTGCCATTTGCATGGCAATATCAAACCAAACTCATATGGCTTGCTTCCTTTTTTTAATTAACTGGGAATGCCAGTGATCCAGTGAAGTTTGTGTTGCTGGATAAAAGGGCTGGTCTGTGAATAGCATTGTATTTGCCAAATGGTTCGCTAGTCATTTCAGTACAAACAAATGGATGGTGTCTGTAAGTCTGCAAACACTGTTGACATTTAGCCTTGTTTATGTTACTTTCCTTTTGCTGCATATTTTTGGCTAGAAGAGATACTGTCTGAATCAACATTGACTTCCTAAGCAGAAGCTAAGGGCCCAGTCTTGCATCCCTCAT